GAACATATTTATAGTTTTTAAAATCAATTAAAATGTTTATTCAAAATTAGAATAAACGAAACATTATTCACGAAGTGATAAGTTTCTACATATTAATTAAAAATATCTAATAAGATTGAAATTTACAATAAACATTTATGTTCAATACTTTGATTAGTTAAGCTAGAGTTAAGATTCAGTTAAAATACGCAAAATAATAGTTTAACATGTTTAAAACATAATGACTTTTACTAAATAATTCAGTCATAACATGTTTATTGTACGTTTTTTCAATTTGTAAATGATTAGAGACTGATACGACATTTTTAATAAAATTTATAAAATATTCAAGTAGGTACTTGATTATTTTAACTTTTAAGTAAGTATGTTATTTTTAGCGTTTTAACTAATTTAAAAAAGGGTCATTAAATATTAATGGTGTTTGGTTTGATGTTTATTATCAAATAAGAAATATGTATGCTTAACAAGGTTAASTATAAGTTCGTATGTTTTAAAGTTTTATAAAATCTTTTGGCTTTTACGATGCTTTTAACTTATACAATGCTGTGGTGTAACAACTTTTAGAATAACTTTTGGCGGATTATTTTAATGTACATTAAACCGATTTAACTCTCGTAATATTATAATAATAATTGTATTATAGGTACTACAAACCTTGTCAATTAATATATAGGTACTAGAAATAATACATCATTTTTAAAATATCGTCTGAAATAACCACGGTAGAACGATCACGTAATTTATTATGTTTCATATTATCATTATCTATGTAATAATATTATACGTCGAGATGGATTTTAAAAATTGTATCTTAGTAGATTGCAGTTATGGGTACCGACGTATACGCGCGAAAGGGATGGATCGTCAAAATTATATACATTAGAAAAATGTTCGTATATGCATTGCATGTATAATATACGTATGTATGTATGTATATATATATATATAATATAATATTTATATATATGGGTAAATAGGTGCCTTCAAATAATATCATGAATGTCCGCTCGAGTATTATACCTAGATAAAAATACGACTACGCCACGCAGCACTGGACCAGGCGGCGGCGGCAGCATGGTCTCGATGAATCATGTCAAAGGGGTGAATACTCAGAAGCAATCTACTCCTCGACCGGTGTTGAATTTTAAAAGGACGGCCTACAAGAGTGATTACCCGATTAACTGCTAAACGGAACATGCGAGGCGCCGGAATAGCGGCGGATAAGGTTGGACTCGAATAAAAAAAGAGAATCATTCTTTTTTAAACTTTCCGGAGAATCAATTGTACTTATGTACATTATATGTATTATGTATTATGTATTATTATTATTATTATTATCATCATCATGGTATTCGTTAAGGTGTTAGTTTCGTCCGGGCAACGTGCTGAATGTTAAACAGCTATTGTTACGTTTCGAACATGTATTTCTCACGTCGTCGTCGTCGTTTCCATCTCAGTCTCCGTCCATACCCTATAGTGCTCGCGCGTAACGGCCAAGTCTGCACGCACGCGCGGTTTCCTATTCCGATCACGGTCGTCTGGTAAATTGATAGACTTAAAAGTGTCCATCTYTATAGTATAATGCTCTGTGTATAGGTCCCGTCAACGTTCTCATAACTTGCTAGTGTTTGGTAAAAATCTGTTGAAAACAGTAACGGCTTCCATCTCTTCCAATCGGTGGCACGACATGAGTTCAAATCACTTTCATAGTTACGCACCCTCGACGTTCAGTTTACACTGATAGGTATAAATTTTTATATTCACGATACCAGAAAAAAAAAATTAAGAACTTTTTGTTTTTAATATTACCTATTGTACATTTTATATAATAATGTTCAATATAATTTTCTCTCCGTGATAGGGAATGTAGTGTACAGTATTTTTTCATTTCTTCGCTAACATATTGTAATATTTATATCGTTTATAAATAAGTCATCGTCTATCGATTTCGTCTACATCATCGTTTTGTTGCGTTTATATAGATTGCCGCAGCTGGTAATTTTCACCACCAGTATAGAATAGCAGCATTCATGATGTCGATTCGTCATCACAAAATTATTTCGATCTTTTCGCTTCTTTTATTATACACGGCGGACCGCGCCCCGCATATAATACGATGTATAATAATAATAATAATATAATATACGCCGCGGTGGCGGTCGTACATTGGAAAACTCTGTCCACCCACCCATATCATCGCCTAGTAATGGGATTATAAGAGGATTTCGATAACGCGATCGCGATGTACCGTTCGAACGGTTTCGTCTGTACATCTCGTGGGAAATATAATACCGCACTGAAAAGTGTCTTAATAATTTCCTTGGGACTACGCATAATGGCTCAATGCCGGGCATATTCCGRTATATAGTCATTTGGATAGCATTAGGTACCGTCTATTCGCCCTATACAATAAGGGGTGGTGTGGATTTAGGAAAGCTGCACGGCAACGCTATTGGAAATAGTTTTACTTTATATTATATAATATAGAAGGGGCGATCCGGGGGAAGAAGAAGAAGAAGAAGAAGAAGAGTTCAAACTATTCTCTTGAACCATATAATATATGTATATATACAAGAATACGATCACTCTATTCGATATAAATAAATTGATCTTAAAAGTAAAATAACATGTTCAATTGTTACGTTTTAAAGTAATATTACCCGCGGGTCCTATTTAACGGAACTACATTATTATAGTATAGTGGTTTTGCTATCAGCTAAATTTCATTATCATTGAATATGGTATAATATTAAATAAGTATAACAACTAACGAATAATCGAGATAACCGACAAACGAAAAAGTGTAATACAAGATGTGTTGAGTTTTTTATTTATATTTAAACTATTAATATTGTAACGTACCTTATATTGGTTGTATTCTCGAAGCGTATATAATACGCATTGCCTATTATAATACCTACTTATTGTGGTGTTTTTGTGGGATTAAAAATTGTATTACGATTTTATCTCCTATATCGATMTTATTGACAGTTTCTCTTGTTGACACCGTTGGTTTCCCATTGTAAATCAATAAGATGTAATTTATATGGCTATTTTATTCTATAATTTTGATACTTATAAGTCATGAGTTAAATTCAGTGTGAAGTATTTACCATTCTGATATCATATATCCATAATATAGGTATTTTAATATTTACATTTAAATATTTAATTTAGTCTACACAATTGTTCATAATAAGTCACAACCAGCGTTGTTCGGAATTGTTGTACCGTTAGTTTTGGGAAAGTTAACGTCATTTTTAGTTAGTCGATCCTGTTATTTAACGGATTGAAAATTATACAGAAAACATACTGAAAATAGTATAAAAAAGGAACCTTTTTTTGCAAAATAAAACTTCAAAAAATATCAAAGTTAAGGAAACAAAACGATGTTATATATTATGATATATTTAGTGCATTTATACACTTTTTCGACATGATCATTGTTATAAAAGCATATGTTGGAAATAAACTATAGTATGTACAAAAAAAAGTTAGTATTATGGGACAGATATTACAAAATATATTTCTATTAACATTCTTCTATATTTCACTCAAATTATTTAACTACAAGTTTTATATAGTAAGTTATACAAAATTACAATTTAAGTATTTACCCACGTATTGCTAAGATTAAATAAGAAAATAACACTACAACAATTTTCTATACGTATGATTTTAATTTCGTGAAATGGTTAGAGAGTTAGGTATAGCCCGGTATAGGTACAACAAATATTACATTGACAACATTTTGTGTAAAATATCATATTTTTTCCTAATACTCTTTAATGTTTTAATTTCATTATCTATATTCTATAGGTGATTTGTGAAAAAAATTATAATTTATTCATTTTCAAATAATATTTAGGTACGTTTTTAAAGGCAAATAGTTAAAATAATATTTAATGTGAAATGTAATAATTAAAATTTATTTTGCATAGATAATCATATAATATATAAAACTTGATCATTCAAAATTYTATATTCTATATTGTAAAAATATATGAATTATTGACTTACTTGAATCTGACATACGATTTCCGAATATGGCCAACAATGGACTAGAGCTGAAAAAGCTGCTAACGGTGTAACTAGCAGTCCAATGGCCAAGTCATTGCAAGCGAGCGATGTCACCAAGTATCGAGGCTGAAAATTGACGGAGATAAAGTACTAGGTAACTAAATTATTTATTTTAATACAAGTTATCTACTTTACCATTTTATGCTATATCTAAGCTATACGTGAATGGTGAAAATATGCAAAAAAAAAATGTAGGTGAATAGTAATGTCTTACCTGTGGGTGTATAAATTTTGTGTATCTGTCGCTGTTGATCGTGACTATCACCATGAGATTAGCGACGAGTATGGCCACTGTGAGCAACGAGACGAATGCACTCTCTGTAATACCTGATACGGTTATGCGAAATAACAGACCATTAGTGTAGATGCGCGGATGCCAGCAACTACTATTGTACAAGAGTGGAGCTGTTAGCACTGTTGACCTGCCAGCCCTCATTTTCTTACATGGTTTTATTCTGAAAAAATAAATGTCACATGGTAAAATGAATATGTATAATAATAGTATAATATTATAGAATAATTAAATTATTGACAATTATTTTTTTTTTAAATCTATTATTTTTATTTTATCAGAATAAACGTCGCGCGGCTTTTGTAACAATGTAAGGATACAAAAATTGACAATCTTATGAAAATACAAGTCAAATTATTTGAAATACGAGTATGAAAAATCTGTTTTCGAATATTCAAATAAAATATTCAATAATAATAACAAAAAAAAATTAGAAATAAGAAAATAATCGAACTGTTAAACAACATTTCTGCTGTGTGCTAAATATGTATATGAGTGCATACTGCATACACCTATATACCCTTCAATCATTTAATTGATTGTTATATCTAACTAGTATAATATACAATATTTATGTATGATTAACTAAAAATATGTGTTTTTTAGTCATAATAATAATAATTATATTATCAATGAAGACCTAGTGTGGCTCGGTGGTTGGTCTCAATCACAAACGTGTTCTGAGGGTAAAGTATCGGTCGATGTCGCTAGTTCCCGACCACTCAAGTTTTAGTGAAGAATTCTAGCTCCACATGCACGTGTTTCTCAATCGACCGTAGCTCCCCAAGAAAATTCTAATGGCCAAA